AGTTTCCTCAGGAGTGGAAAGGGAAAAGCTCCCTGCAGAAACTCATCATGATGAGAGCCCTGAGACCTGACCGCATGACCTATGCTCTTAGGTGAGGAAGGTTTTTCCCCTTTTGTGTTATTCATGTTTTTTTATATATTAACTCTTCCTATCAAAATATATTTGCATGTTACTGGTCCGTCTGGATTATCCACTTCTCTATCACTTTTTTGTAACCCCAGATCATTTCTACTCTTCCTATTGGCATATTGTAGGAACTTTGTGGAGGAGAAGCTTGGGGTGAAGTATACAGAGGGCAGAAAGACTGAATTTGCAAAGTCCTTCAGAGAAAGTGGTCCAGCATCACCTATGTTCTTCATCCTCTCCCCCGGAGTGGATCCACTGAAAGATGTGGAATCACTAGGTACCATAAACAGAGTAGCTGCAAACATGCACAGGCTGTATGCACTCACACAAATACATACACTTAATTAATTGTTTCTTGCCTCATGCAAAGTGCAAGGTTTTAGAAAACAGCAACAGTAATGTATAATGCCGATAGCGTGACAACAGACCAATTAATAATAGTTGCAGATAAATTTAGAGAAAAGAAAAGAATTAGGGAGAGAAGTGGGAATAACCTCTTTGAAACCATGAGTGATTATAGAGATAAATGATGGGGGGGAGTGTGAAGATTGAGTATGATTAGTTTAAGTCCACATCAGCATATAGAAAGACTTAAAATTCAACCCTCTGTGTTCTCAGGAAGGAAGCTGGGTTTCACCATTGACCTTGGGAAGCTTCACAACGTGTCCTTGGGCCAGGGCCAGGAAGCAGTGGCTGAGGTTGCCATGGAAAAGGCTGCCAAGGAGGGTCACTGGGTTATATTGCAGGTCTGATTAGAAGAGAGATTGGTTTACACTGAATATTTGGATAAACAGAAGAATATAATAGTTTATAAACTATGATTAAGATGTTTGTTCTCAGTAGAAGTGTTACTGAAACTGTAAATACTTACTACTAATACTAATATTTTCTGTACTCGATTTGGATTGTGTGTTTTCATTCACCTGTAGAACATCCACCTGGTTGGTCGCTGGCTGGGTTCACTTGAGAAGCTCCTGGAGCGCTGCTGTGAAGGCAGTCATCCAGACTACAGAGTGTTTATGAGCGCTGAGCCAGCACCAACACCACAGGAGCACATTATCCCACAGGTAGAGATCCAGGGTACATGCAGGAAGGTCATCTTAATGCATCACGCATACACATGTAATGAATGTAGGCTCCCAGGTATGTTTGCTGGTGCCATGTTGCATTACTGCTGCAATGTACACTATAGTTATTCACTTGTTAAGTTATTGCACTAAATACAGATGTGAATATTTTATTCAATATTTATTCTTATATGTTTTATTCAGGGCATTATGGAAAACGCTATCAAGATCACCAATGAACCTCCTACAGGCATGCTTGCAAATTTGCATGCTGCTCTGGATAACTTTGACCAGGTGAGTGTCTACTAACTACTTTGTGCTAGTATACCACAAAAACAATCTATAAGAAAAATAATAATTAGCAATGAAATCTTACAATAAGACATTTCAATTACAATTTCTTCAAACAGCATAATAATAAAAACAAGTGCCTTTGTCTTAAAGCATCAAAAGCATTCTTATTTTTAGCATTTTTTATTAAAATAATGAAAAATTAATGCTTTCTTTCTAGGACATCCTGGACCAGTGCAGTCGTGAGCAGGAGTTTAAGACCATCCTCTTCTCTCTGTGTTACTTCCACGCCTGTGTGGCAGAGAGGAGGAAGTTTGGACCCCAGGGTTGGAACAGAAAGTACCCCTTCAACACTGGAGACCTGACAATATCAGTTAACGTCCTGTATAACTACCTGGAGGCTAATGCGCAGGTGGGATGTGTTGTTGGTGTTATAAGTGGATGAGAGGGTGCATAACAACATGATGAGGATGTTTTGAGATGATGATGATTGTATTGGCAGTGCTTTTCATAATGATTATGATGATGAAGGTGCCGTGGGAGGACCTGAGGTATCTGTTTGGAGAGATCATGTATGGAGGACACATCACTGATGACTGGGACAGACGGCTCTGCAGAACATACCTGGAAGAATACATGCAGCCCAACCAGGTTTGTTCGTGGAGGAAGACAAATGTGAATGTAATCCTCCGTAGTATGGCTGATTGAGGTTGAGGTCGGCACACTCGGCTGTGTTCTAGCACAAGAGGACCAAATGTGAGCTGGCTTTGGCACAGGCAGTACATGGCTGCCAGATTTAACTGTGTTTTTGGAGTGTAGACTTGGGCCATTTTGGGCTGAGAATTAGCTCCAGTTAGCAGTAATTTGACTACTTTTGGACTGGAGACTGCACATACAAGCTAAAGAGTGTCTGCCAACCGGACGTGCCAGATTTAGTCCGCTGTTAGACAAAGCAATTTTGGCTACCTCTCCTGGGTTGGGATCATTTTATGTTTTGTACTGTGTTAGAGATCTAAAGCAAAGAAATTCTGTTCTTTTATTTCCCAGTTTGACCGGAAGCTTTCTTTGGCTCCTGGGTTTGTCGTCCCCTCCAACCTGGACTACCAGGTAACTAAATCATTTTCATGATCAGATCTCCCTAATGGTGAACATTTAACTGGTCTGAACGTGTAACTACATTCTGGTGTGTCTTTCTGTGGATGTAAAGCAACTCATTACTGAAAAACAGTAAGTTCAGTCAGCTGTCCTGTAAATAAAGGTTAAATTCCCACAAGGGCTGTCCATACACAAAATATGTGTGACTGAACTCTGTAAATAAAAGTATCAAGTTACTTTCCATGTAGATTGCTATGAATGACAAACATAAATAATAACAACAACACATTTTGTTTGTAAAGTGCTTTTCTACGCCCAAAGCGCCAGATGGATAGATGGATGGCATTCACCATTTTCTCTCCCTAGGGCTACCATGATTTCATAGATGAGATGCTGCCCCACGAAAGCCCAGTGCATTATGGGTTGCACCCCAACGCAGAAATTGAGTTCCTGACAGTAACATCCGATAACCTTTTCCACACTCTGCTGGAGCTGCAGTCTCCTGACGCTGTGATGGGGGAGGGAGTCTCACAGACCTTGGAGGAGAAGGTAGCTACACCTACATGTTCAGTTATTTCTTTATGGGATTAGCGTTTTTTAACAGGAATTAGAAGACATTGTTTGTCCTGGTCTAGCAAACACACACATTTAGTGACGCAAGCTTCTCTACTAGTCAAATCTTTAAATTCCTCACAATGGCAGCAGTTTTAGATGACTCAGATTCTCTAATTCTAATAATTACTGACTCCACCCTCCGTCAGGTGAAAACTATTTTGGACGAGGTGCTCGAGAAGTTACCAGAGGAGTACAATATGTCCGACATCACCTCTAAGACAGCTGAACGGTCCCCGTACATCCTGGTCTGCTTCCAGGAGTGTGAGCGCATGAACATGCTCATCTCTGAGATACGGCGCTCACTCAAGGAGCTTGACCTGGGACTCAAGGTATGCTTATACCTTTGTGTGTGTTTGTATGTTTGCCCTCAGCATCTCAACATTGTCTAATGAATTATTATAACTGCTACCTTCAAGGTGTGTATTCACATTGATGTAACAGTTAATAATATCTGTTAAAGGGTGAACTGGCCATCTCCTCTGAGATGGAGAAGCTGCAGACAGCCTTGTTCTTTGACAACGTCCCTGATACCTGGACCAAGCTGGCCTACCCCTCCACCTACAGCCTGGCTATATGGTGCGTGTATGTGTGTCTTAGTCAGTATATCTGGATTTGAACAGGTGTTGTATTTTTAAAAATGTGTATGTATCTACTGTATGTAGTATACGTACTGTTATACATTACATATACATTATTACAGCAGATGTAACAAATATATTTGCTATTTTTAATGTCCAGAAGACTGACATCTCTCTTTTTGTGTATGTGTGTGTCAGGTATAATGATGTGTTGCAGCGTTGTAAAGAGCTGGACAGCTGGACTCAGGACTTATCTCTGCCTAGTGTTGTCTGGCTGTCTGGACTTTTCAATCCACAGTCCTTCCTCACCGGTAATATTTGTGCATACAGATGAGTGTGCTACCTAGGCTCGACTGAAATATTTTCACTATTCTCCCCTCATCATTTGTCTCTTGCGTCATCCCTCATCACCATTATTTTTTTCATCTTCTTCTGGCTTTCCAGCGGTGATGCAGTCTCTGGCGCGCAAGAACGAGTGGCCCCTGGACAAAGTGAACCTGACAGTGGATGTGACCAAGAAGTTTAAGGAAGAGTTCAACCAACCTGCCAGGGAGGGTGCTTATGTATACGGACTTTACATGGAAGGTAGACAAACACTGTAATTAGTTTCCTGTCTGTTGCTGGGCAACCTGGAGCACCATTTTTCTATTGCTGATCGTTGAGCAAGATACTTATGCTCTCTATATCTACTTTTTGATTGAAAGCAAAATCCCCCCCCTCTATGAATCATTTAAAATCACATCATACGGTACATGTTTTTACCCTCTTTCACCTTTGTCCTTCCAAAGGTGCGAGGTGGGACACTCAGGCCGGGGTGATCACTGAGGCCCGTCTAAAGGAGCTGACCCCAGCCATGCCCGTTATCTCAGTCCGAGCTGTGCCTAACGACCGCCAGGAGACCAGAAACATCTACGAGTGTCCGCTCTACAAGACAAAGATCCGAGGACCCACATATGTATGGACTTTCAGCCTCAAAACCAGGGAGAGGCCTGGCAAGTGGGTTCTGGCAGGAGTGGCTCTGCTGCTCAGTGTGTGAGAGGGAGTTTAAGGGTCTGGGGTCAAGAGTCAGAAATTGTTTTATTGGACAAGGTAGGTGTATACTATGTATTAAAATGGGGGATGCTCAGCTTACGTGTCATTCATACTGTTCCAATTATAACATTTGACATATACTGTAATATATACATATACTAGAGGATGGAGGCTGATTAAAATCACAAAAATGGAATCAAGGTTTCTTTTCTTTTTATTGAAAAATGATAAAATATACAGAAAGAAATGCCAAAAATTCACACACTAGATCACAGTTAGAACTGATAAAGTCAAAGCTTGTTTTGAACAAATCAAATCTATGAACTACAAGATTCTCTATAAGCAGGAAAAAAAATACGAGACTCATTAGAGCGGCATTCAAGTGTGTCATTTGTCACACTTGTACCTCCTACAGTATGTTATACAGCAGTTTTAATAGCACATTAAATTACACAGGTGAAGTCATTCTGACAACGTGACAAAGACAACCTCTTAATTGTCTTTTTGCTCCTTCCTACTTCACAGTACACTTGGGTGTAGTATTCATCCATTCAATAAAAAAAAAATTAACAAAAGAAATGTGTGTATACCAGCTCTTTTTCAACTGGAGATCCTAATGCACATACTGTAGCTCAGATACTTTATGTGCTAACAAGTCAAAATCTTTCTAGTTTGGCCTCTGTGTGATTTTCTGTGTGTTTTCTGTGCGTGTGTGTTTCCTAGTCACTGTCAGACCAATCAAGCTCCATCATGTCCATGGCAGCAGTAGCCATGTTGATCTTGGTTCCATGTCGCACGCTGCAGCTCTTCACAGAGTTCTGATTGGATGAAGACCGCATGCTCACCTGCACCCCTGAGTGACCTATGACCCCTACTTCACCTCTAATCTTTTGGCTGATGGCCTCCCTGACCCCCACCTCACTCCTGACACCGTGACCTACGACTTTCATCACTCCCAGGTCACCCATGTTCATGTCCATGTCTCCTAGTCTCTCCATCTCCCCCATCTCATTCATGTCTAAGGACAGCATGTCCCCCAAGCCCCCCAAACTCCCGTGGAGACCCTTGAACATGGTCGGGAGCCTCCCTCCTTCTATACCTCCCTCCATCCCTCTCTCATCTAGCCTGTCCCCCAACTTCTCTATCTCCCATCCTGCCTCCTTCTCCCTCTCCCCTTCTGCTTCTCCAAACCCACCTGAGTACCCTCGGACTATGGTGGTGACCCTGCTCCTCTGCATCCCACCTCTCTCCCTATCGCCCTCCTCCCATGTCCTCTCCTCCCTCTCCACCACACCGCCCGGGAAGCTCCTGAGTGTCACCTGCACTCTTCCTCCCTCCATACTCCCACTATCATCTCTCTCCCTCTGCCCCCAGCTTTTATCCTCCACAGTTCCTTCCTCTTCCTCATCTTCCTCTCCGAACCTGCCCTGCAACCCTCGGAGCATGGCGTGCAGCCTCCCGCTGTCGAGTGAACCCATCCCCCTCTCCAGCGCCGCGCTGCTCCCCCTCTCCGTGTCTCCGTTGCTGAGGGTGCGCAGGAGACAGCTAACGCCAGCGCTGCTGACGCCAGCACTGCTGACCCCTGCACTGTTGGAGTCCTGAGAGTGCGAGCGGAAGAAGGAGCCAGTGGAACCGATGGACATTGGTGTGAAGAACTGATCAAATCAGAGAGAATGGAAAGAGAGGAGGAGGGCAAAGATCAGAAAAAATATATATTTGTATTGTTATTGTTGTTTTCAGCTGTCTTTACTCCACTTCTTCCACTTACTGGTGAGATGTTTGACCGCTCCATGAGTAGGGAGGTTGGGCTGGGAGTCATGTTGGACCTCTCCATCAGCCTCTCCTCCCACAGTCTGAGCCTCCTCTCTCTCTCCTCCAGCTCCTTCTCTTTGGAGTAAAGCTCCCTCTCCAGCTTCCGAAGGCGCTCCAGGGTCGACTCAATTTCACACCTGTAGTATGTGCACACGCACACAGAGTATCTTGTCATCGACTGTGTCTTTGTACATGCAGATGTGACCTAGTTTTAACAGCAACTTTACTGCAGCCACCACAGAACAAATGCCAAGTTCAATTTCAAAAAACTACTCAGGAGAAAGAAACTGAAATTGATAAATATTTTAGAACCGCGTGTGTATGCTGTTGAAAAAATATTCTATTCAAAAACTTTACCTTTTCAAAAATTAAGTCTCAAAGCTAGAGACCACTACTTTTTTTTGTCGTTTCGAAAGTCTTTCATTATGTCTTTGTGTCATCTAATACAAAGGTATGTTTTCTACTTTTGCAATGACTTTTACATTTTGTAATGACAGGAAATTATGCAATACATTCTCTTCAATATCTTCTATCTCCAATGCCAGCACAACATGTTTACTGAAGACTCAATACTTCTGTTTTTCTTCCCAGAGCCATGTCTCCACCACCCACAATTAGTTTTTTTTTCTTTTGTGCATTGCATTGTGGGAAACAATACTGTAAATCGTGAGCACACTATAATCACGTATACTAGATTTTCTTACTTTTTCACATACTCGAAACATGTTTAGAATCCAAACAGCTATATTCTAGTTTCCTATAGCAGACTATGTGAAACAACATTTGTTTGACTGTTCTGTTCTGACTGTTCCTGCAGATGACAGTAATGCCAAAGGTAAAGAATGAGTCAACAGTGTCAAATATGTAGCTGCAGTATTGTCTGTTACCACAAGAGGTCACTGTGAGTGTTGGTGACTGACTGTCTATGAACCTGCATTCACAAACACAATCAACTCTCACAGCAACTAAATATAGACAGATCTGACGCACAGCCATACCTCCTCTTGTGTTCCTTCCATACCTCCCTATTCATTCATCCCGCCCCTTCACCTCCCTCACTCCCCCCCCCTCCTCCTCTCCGCCTCTCCTTCTCTTGTCCAAGTTTTTCCACCCGTACCCAAAACTTCACTCAGAATTGATTGCCTCGCTGTACTCATGTTAAATATGCACAGAATCTCGCACCTTCTCTCCTCTCCTCCATCCACCTCTCTGTCTCTTTCTCTCTCGTCATCTGTCAATTCCTGTTTCCCACTATCCTCGCTGTTTCTCTCTTGTTCAGTGTTTTAGATTTCACATGCACCCAATACATTTCTGTTCCTCCCTAAACTTCTTCACTTCTTCAGCTCATACTTGATTCCCCCCACTCTCCCCCCACCCCTCTGTCGCTCTGGAGGGAGGGCAGAGTGGAGGAGTAGAGGAATCTCTTCCATGGACACTTTCCAGAGAGCTTATTATAGACTGAAGTAGAGTACAGGGTCACACATTCAACTTCTCTCCTGAGTCTACAGAACTGTGTATATGTATGCGTGTGTGTGTGTGTGTGTGTGTGTGTGTACACATGCTGGCACGTGTGTGACTATGTAAAAATTGGTGTGCATGCATATTGAGTTTTATTTTGGGTAGATTAAACCCCAGACTTAATTTGTCATCTCACATGAGACCGAGACCTTACTGTATACAACATTACAGAAAATGCCTCATGCTCAGTCTCAAGGCAGATACACTTTTCTTTTGGACGTCTACAAGACTGTGTGTGTGTGTGTGTGTGTACCTCCACTGGTCCTTGTTATGTAGGAAGGAGTTACACTGGTCCGGTAGCCTGCTGTCGTTGGCCATGGTCTCCAGGGTTACCAGCACCTGTTTGAACTGTGGACGCTCCTGTAGGTACACACACACACAGATCAAACAGCCAGCCGACACACCTGTTTTCAATGTCTTTTAAAGTATAAATGGTAGACATAAGCAACATTTTAGGATATTAACCATTGTATCCCTTGTCTGTTTAGCTTACCTTTGGTTCTGCTTGCCAACATTTCCTCATCAGCTCTGCAAAACTTGCTGGACAGCTGGTGGGGATGGTCAGCCTCTAGATACACAGACAGACAAACACATGCGAATACAAGAAGCAAAAGCCTTTAGTTTCAACTGAAAGGTCATACCAGACCACCTTAATTTAAGACCTTGAAAACTTGGCTTCACATCTTAAGCATTTCTACAAAACATTAAATATTCATGACTATAATAAAAAAAAGACAGCTCCAAGCTCAAAGCTTCGTACTTAATGCAAGCATGCTGATGTTTAGCATTTTACTATGTTAACCACCATTAGCATGCTAATATATGCTAATAAGCAGTAAACACAAAGTAAAGCTGAGGCTGATGGGGAATGTCATTCGTTTTGCAGGTATTCAAAATAATGGATAAATTACATTTTTGGCTCTAGATGAAAAGTTAAGGGATCAGTTATTATTATATTATATAATATTATATTATTCTGTGCCAAATTGTCAGGCAATCCTTCAAACATTACACTAAAAGCCAAAACGGGGCTAAAACATGTTTCGGTATCATTTATTAAGAGTTTAAACACTACTAAACTTAGCTAAGGTGCTTCATCTGGACTGTGTGGTTGTGCCCAGAGCTGTCATCTGATCTTTAAATCAAATATTGTTAAATCCTGATTGGTAGGTATGTAACACCATCCACCTCAAACCAATGAGAGGAGCAAAGGAAAAATATATAATAAACATTTTTAAATGATAAATATCCATAATTACAAAAATATAGTGTTCATGTTGATCACTGTGATCACATGACTGTAAATGAGAAAACAGGTTTTCAGGGCCTTTAATTCTGTAATATGTAAACTGCAGAAACAACAGTAAACAACACATGCCACTGATATAATGTCCCCTGCATAAAAGATCCCCTGGCATCATCAAAGGTCTGAATGAGCCCAGACAGCTCCATAGTACAGCACAGTAAATGGAAACAGTTTTCTCTGGGGATTAATCCTAAAATATCACCGACTGAGTGGAGAGAGGGCAAGTAAGAGGGTCAGGAAGAGAGGTATAGCAATGGAGGGGAAAATCAGAGGGAGACTGGGAAAGGGAAAGAGAGAGAGAGTTATTTAGGGAGAGTATTTGGAGATTAGCCAACAGCTACGCAGGAATCATGTTCTCCGAGTTGTTTGTTGGACCCCTGTTTGTGCAAGTGTGTTTGTTGAAGGGGATTCAGGCACGTCAATAACTGAAACACATACGCTGTATAACCATCACCCCACACCTCACCATAAACCTTTTGAATCAACCCTCCTATCACTGCAATCTTTTCTCTCTCTCTCTCCCCCCCCCCTTTCTCTCTTTCTCCCTCGTAAAGGCTTTAGCCAGGGGGGAGTCTGGCTGAGCTCCACTGCTGTGTATCCAGGCCTTACAAGAGCAGAGAACTGACATCAGGCCTAAAAATACCCAGCTTCAGCCTCACCAGCTCGCAGTGGAAACCATGAGAGCATCGCATTGTTCCTCAAGCCTTCTCAACCTCTGGTGGGTCTACATGCTGACAGTGTGTTCAGAAAGGTGTGCTCACATGTGTGTGTGTGGGGCTTACCTCTTGTTTTTCCACCACCAGCCACGCAACCTGCAGCCCCTCAAAACCTTTGAAAGGAACCTCCCGAGTCAGCATCTCCCACAGCACCTGGCCACAGAACAGACCGTGTTGGTTTATTCAGACAGGCATGATTTCTTTGATGTGTTGGTTGTAGCTCCAGATATTTAGGGCTTTGTTTTATGTAACTCTTCTGCATGGTTGTAAAGATGTCCATCAAAACAAATACCCACAACTGGATGGCAGAGAAGGCCAAACGG